GCTTCCCCCTCAGGATGCTGCCTAAAGAGGAAAGCGAGCCCACCCCTTGGGTTGGGAGAGCCATTGGCACACGCACAGGGTGGGGGATCCCGGCAGCTGGAAGGAAGCATGGGGAGAAAATATGCCAACGGAATTTAGCTGGCTGCAAGCTCACTGCAAGCCCAGTGGTGGGCTGCGCGTGCTGTGAAGGGGATCTCAATCCCCAGCCTAGGCAGAGAGGAACTGCCCTGGGCCCAGAACTCTGAGAGATCAATATCTTTTCTTTATAAATTACCCAGAGTCCGGTGTTGTGTTACAGCAGCACAAATGGACGAGGACATATAGGCGAGTCCCCTTCTGGTGGGGTGCCAGCTTGCCATCTGGGGAGGGAGCCCCTGAAACCTGAAAGCATCTATCTGGTGGTGACATGCAAATCAGTGCCACCAGTAAGAACATGAACAGAGAGGATTCTGAGGTCCACTAGTGTGGCCAGGCAGAGGAAGTCCGTGGGAGGAGGGGGAGGATCTGCTGAGCCAGGAGGAGGAAGAACCTCAAGAAGAGGAGGCTGCCACCATGGGCAGCTCTTGGGGTGGGGTGGGGTGGGGTGGAGCATGGCACACAGAGGAAGGAGGGAAGGCAAAGGCTGAAGGTAGGGATGAGCTGAGTGTGCTGGGGGCCAGCCCAAAGGGCCAATTCAGCAGGCATCAGATGAGAGGGGCTCGGGAACAGTGGCAGGGGAGGAGGACCCTAAGAGAAAGCCAACTGTGAGGGGTGGGGCAGGGCCGCTGACAAGGATGGGGACCTTGGGTTCACTCTAAGGAGATGGGGACCCAGGGGGAGTACACCTCAAGGGGAAGAACAGGGTCTGGTGGTGTTGCCAAGAGCTAGATCTCCCCAGCTGCCATGGGGATTGGGGAGTAGAGAAGAGACTAGGACAGGTTGGATCTGGGGGTGAGAAATAAAGGGGAGGAGGGAAGGAATCCTGCCATCCATCTTAGCTTGAGCAAGCAGGTGGAAGAGGAGCCCTATCTGGTGGTGACGCAGCTGGGGAAATCTGGGGAAGGAGCAAGTGCACTGAGAGGGGCAAAGCGCTCCAGTTTGCACACCTGAATTCCGAAATCCCCAGGGGGCATCCAAGTGGGCAGTTTGATGCACATGTGTGGAGCTCAGGGGAGGGCTTGTATCCAGACACGGAAGGTCCCTTAGAGGCACTGAATGTCCCTGGGCTGAGCCTGGGAACCCTCCTCCACCATGCTGAGCCCCAGCAAATGAGGAGGAGGAAAAGGGGTTGGGCAGGGGAGGTCCAAGGACAAACAAAGTAAAAGCCAGCAGAGAGGGAGGAGGTCAATCTGAAGGGCAGGAATGGGTGGTTCCAGAAACCAGGGAAGGAAAGGGGTTGGGGAAGCCAGGAGAGCCAAGCCTGCTGAGAGGTGGAGACAATGGGGCAGAGAAGTGACAAAGGAAAGACAGCTGAGGTGTCACAGCTCAAGCCCCCGTGAGGATGCAGGGAGATGAGCCCACACCCATACCCCAGACAGAGCCAGAGTCTTGGACTTGGAGTCAGCAGGGAAGGGAAGGAGGGAGAAGGTGGGAAGAGAGGGAGAGTAGAAAGAGGTGAGGCTGAAAACAGGACAAATGCTGGGCCAGTTGGTGACACTAGACCCACCCCAAGAATATCTCCTGGGAGTGCTCTCCCTAGAGAAGGACCCCAGAAACATCATGGCTGAAACCAAGAAAGAGGGTGGCATGTGGTGTAAGCCATGGCGAGTCTAACACTGAGGTCAAGGAGACAGAAATTCTCACGGTGGGTGTTAAGAGCAATAGTGGCTTGTATCAGAACAAGCAGTGTAGGTCCTGAAGGAGAAGGGGAGGGAGCAGACACATGAAGCCAGCAGAGGAAGCTGGTTTGTGAGAGAAGACACCTGTTTCTTCATTTGCACAGTGGGTTAGTCAGCTTTTAAGTCACTGTGGACCAGACACCTGACAGTGACAACTTAGGGGAGGAAAAGTTTGTTTTGAGGTCACATTTTCAGAGGTTCAGTCCATGGCCGGCCAGCCAGCTCCCTTGCTCTGGGCCTGAGAGTGAGGAAGAACGTCATGGTGGAGGGGTGAGGTGGAGGAAAGCTGCTCACTTTGTGGCAGCCAGAAAGTAGAGAGACAGACGGAGAAGCCAGAGGGACAAGATATCGTCCCCAAGGGCACAGCCCCCAGTGACCCACCCCCTCCAATCATGCCTCACCTGCCTACAGTTACCACCCAGTACAGCAGTCCTTTCAAATTATTAACTCATCAGATGGATTAATCCATGGATTAGGTTATAGCTCTCATAACGTAATGGCATCCCCTCTGAACATTCCTGCATTGACACAGGAGCTTTGTGGGGGGCACCTCATATCCAAACCATAACCCCTAGCTTTTACCACTCCCGGCCCCCAGAAGGGGTGGAAACACCTGGGGAGCAAGGGCAAGCCAAAGTCCAACCACGAGGCCAACTCCAATGTGACGTGCTTCTGGACAATGGCTGAGTGTTCAAAATGAGAATGCCTTTGACCTTGACGCTAGCAACTTTCTCTTGGAAACAGGCCAACAATATGTCTCTGGGATGGGGAGGAGAGGAGTAAAGAAGATTGTCGGAAGAGGAACAGGGAGTGTCCGGTGAACTTGTGGGAGGATTCCCAACCTCGCCACTGACTCAGGGAATGCAAGGCACATGATGACCAGGTAGTGTTTCTCCCCTTGGGATGGGCAAACGGTCAAGGCTGAACGAGACCAAAGGTTGCTCAGGCCTTGGGGCTTGCAAGGACACTGCCATGCTGCGGGTGGGAGGGAACACAGATTTAGCCTTTCACGGGAGAAAACCAGTGAGTAGCACATGGTCATGGCAGTGATGGGTACAACCCAAGACCCAGCATAGCCACTTCTTGACAACAGCTGTGTACACCCTGGAGCCTGCCTCACTGATGGCGGCTCAGAGAGGCACGTGGGACTTGGGAGGCAGCAGTGTCTGTAACAGCCCTACACTGGGAACAGCCCAAATGCCCCAAATGCCTCAGGGGTGGTCGGACAACCATGCTGCCCTCCGGGCCAAGAGAGTGTTATGGTTTGGAAGTGAGACCGTGCAAGAAGGTTCAGAGGAGAAATGGTTGGGTTGTGAGAACCTTAAGCCAACCAGTGAATTCATCCCCTGATCGGGATTAACTGAGTGGTAACTGAAGTGGTAGGGTGAGGCTGGAGGAGGCGGGAATTGAGGCATAGCTGTGGGGTATATATTTTGTGTCTGGAGAGTGGTGTCTCTCTCTCTCTCTCTCTCTCCCCCCCCCCCCTTCCTGATCACCATGTGAGCTGCTTCCCTCTCCCACTCTCTTCTGCCATGATGTCCTACCTCACCTTGAGCCCCAAGGATTGGACCCGGCTATCCATAGCTGAGACCTCTGAAACCATGAAGGGCCCCCAAATAAACATTAACTGCCTTACACTTGTTCTGATCGAGTCCTTTAGTCACAGCAGAGAAAAACCTGACTAAAACAGAGAGCAACGCCCCCTCACCCCAAGCTCATCAAGCTGTGGAGGGGGGGTGGGGACTTGAGCACCCTCCTCCCAGCTGAATGCCTCTCCTTACACACACTTAGGCAGAGGCCCCAGAGACCCCGGTTATGTCTCTGACAAGAAGAGGCAGGGACTCGCCAAAGGACAGGCAGTAAGATAATACAGGCCCAAGGAGAAGAAACTGGTTCAAAGCCACAGAAACTGGTTCTTGAGCCTTGGGTCTTGGGTCTTGCAGCCGGCACAGCAGGAAAGGCCTGGGCAAACCCAGGAGCTAGGTCACCCTCCTATGCGAGGGCAGTGAAGCACATAGGCCTGTGGTATACCCATCGTGCTCCAGTGGGATGGGCAGTGCCAGATAGATAGATGGTGGACCCTCGGCGGGGTGGCATGGTGAGCACACATTCCCGCACGTATCTACTTCATGGAATCACACCTGGACCTGGTGCCCTGGCCTGGCCCAGAGACCAGAACAATCCTATCCTGGGTGGGGATGGAATCAAGGACTGCAGGCAAAGAAGCCCCTGAGAGCCTGCTCCCCACCCCTGGCCAGAACGCAGAGCTGGTGGGCCCACCCCAGGCCGCTTCCTAGAGGACACCTTGGGCGCAGCCCCCTCGCCGTGCTGGCGCCCCGAGGGCACATCCAGAAGGAGCAGGGGACAGGGCTGGACCCAGACGGACCGGGTGGGGAGAGCCAAAGGCGTGGGGTCTCCAGACACCGACACCCAGACCCCCCCTCCCCCCCGGGGGGGGGCTCCACCTGTGCCAGGGCGGAGGCGGGGGAGGGAGGAGGAGCAGGTGACGTCACCCGCGGTCCCTGGGTGCCCGCGGCGGCGGCGACAGCCCGGCCGCGTGACCCGTGCGCGCCAATGGCCCGGCGGTCTCCGGGGCGACGCGGAGGGTCCGCGCTCCACCGCCACCGCGCCCCCGCCCCGCGTCCGCACTGCAGAGAGCGGTGGCGAGCAGGCGCCGGCGCACTGGCCCACGTGCCGCGCCGGGAGAGCGAGAACTGGACGCAGAGCCAGCGACAGGGCGAGGGAACGAGGGGCGACCGACCCCGCCGCCGCCGCTCTGCTCAGCCCGGAGGAGCCCGCGCCGCCGGGGCCCGGACCAGGGAGGACCCCGCCCCAGCAGGAGGTACCGTACCCCGGGAGGGGCCGCTCGGGCCAGGGAGACCCCGCGGCCCTCCGCCCGCGCCGGCCCAGCCACAGCAGCCCGCGGGGCGGGGGGCGGCGTGGGAGGGTGCTGTGGCCCGCGGGAACCCTCGCGGGGTGGGGCGGGGGTCGGGGCACGAGGGGCGGCTGGGGTGGGAGTGGGGGGTTGGGCATTAACCTCGCTGTCGCCCCGTTCGCATTCACAGGTTGTGGAGACCTGGGCTGCTCTCCCTGATTCCTAGGCTCCCGCCCCTGGGTGTCTTCCCCTAGTGCCAGCCTGGTCAGCCCCTAATATCAGCCCCGCGTGGGCCGAAATTGTGGGCGATGGCGGTGACGATGCTGCAGGACTGGTGCAGGTGGATGGGCGTCAACGCTCGCAGGGGCCTGCTCATCCTGGGCATCCCGGAGGACTGTGATGAAGCTGAATTCCAAGAGTCCTTGGAGGCTGCCCTGTGGCCTATGGGCCACTTTACCGTACTGGGCAAAGTGTTTCGCGAGGAGGATAACGCCACTGCGGCCCTGGTCGAGCTCGACCGGGAAGTCAACTATGCTTTGGTCCCTAGGGAAATCCCAGGCACCGGGGGCCCCTGGAACGTGGTCTTTGTGCCCCGTTGCTCAGGCGAGGAGTTTCTCGGTCGCGTGCTCCACTTCCTGGAGCAACAGGGGCAGACAGTGGAAAGCGTGGCCGGTGCCCTGGGTCTGGGGCTGCGCAGGGTGTGCTGGCTCCGATCTGTCAGTCAGGCGATCCAGCCCTGGGTGGAAACCGTGAGGTACCAGCGCCTGGGCGTGTTTTCCGGGAGGGACCAGCCAGCCCCTGGGGAGGAGTCCTTTGAGGCCTGGCTAGACCACACCACTGACATGCTGCATGTGTGGCAGGGGGTCTCTGAAAGGGAGAGGAGGAGGAGGCTGATCGAAGGCTTGAGAGGGACTGCCCTGCAGCTCGTGCATGGGCTCCTGGCGGAGAATCCCGCCAGGACTGCGCAGGACTGCCTGGCGGCCCTGATCCAGGTGTTTGGAGACAACGAGTCCCAGGCCACCATCCGGGTGAAGTGTTTGACTGCTCAGCAGCGGTCAGGCGAGCGTCTCTCCACCTTTGTGTTGCGGCTGGAAGTCCTGTTGCAGAAAGCCATCGAGAAGGGGGCCCTGGCCAGGGCCTCCGCTGACCACGTGCGCCTGAGGCAGGTGCTCACCAGGGCCAACCTGATCGAGCCTCTGGATGAAGCCCTGAGGAAGCTGAGAATGGTTGGGAGGTCTCCCACATTCCTGGAAATGCTGGGGCTAGTTCGCGAGTCTGAGGCATGGGAGGCCAGTCTAGCCCGGAGCGTGAGGGCCCCGGCAGAGGAAGGGGCTGGTGCCCCCGCTGATGCCCAGGCGGATGCCAGGGCCAATGCTAATGCAGAGGATGAGAAGGTGGAGAAGGAAGAAGAGGAGGTGGACCAACAGCAGCAGGAAGAGGTGGTGGTGGAGGAGGAGCAGGAGGAGGAGGAGGAGGGGCAAAGGGAAGACCAAGGCAATGATCATGCTCCTGCGGGCCCAGGCCAGGCAGGACCCACTGAGGCCCCAGGAGGCCCCGCCCCAGCTCAGATGGGCAGTGCTTCTGATGCCAGCCCAGGAGGGCCTGGTTGTGGGCCAGAGAGCCTGGCCCAGGCAGAACAGCAGGAAGCTGAGGAGCCCCTGCTGGAGGGGCTCAAGGACATCCCAGAGGAGTCAGGAAATGAGGATGGGGCTGGGGAGACTGGCCACCCCGAGTCTGCCCCAGGTGAATAGGCTCAGAAGGCCCAGGGGCTCCTCTCCTCTCAGGCAGCAGAGCCTTGGAGGGAGGGACAGGACTCGCGCCAGGGCCTACCCTCACCCCACATCAGGAGCAGGGCCCAGGGAAGGGCTCACCCAGCCCAAACCAAGCCCCTGGATCCCCCCAGCTCCCCAAAGGGGCCCTGGCCACCACCACCACCAGACTTTTCCAGTGACCCCAAAGACCATATTTGCCACCAGATGGAGCAAGGAGAGGTGCCCCTCCTCATGGAAGCCCCAACCCCAAACCCAAACCCTGCCAGTCTAGGGCTGCAGGCCTAGAAGTGGGGGGATGGGCTGAGGTCACCTGCCACCTGCACTGGACTGGGAGACGTCGGGGAAGAGAGTCCATCTCAAGGGTGCCAGCTGCCTGGCTCTCCCAGCAGGCAAAACCCCAACCCGATTCACCGTCCCCGGGACAGGGTGCTCCTGTCCCTGTCCCTGGAAGCCCGCCTTATCTGTAAGCCCCATAGTGACCCACCTCAGGCAAACGCCCACCCCCACGCTAGCCATCGTTCCTGTGCAAAGCCGTGAGGTGTGTGTCAGCCCCGGGCAGAGGACCGCGCCCTCGCGGCCGGCCACCTCCAGGCCCGGGCACGTGCCGTGAGCTTCCGGGCGAGCCAAGGCTCTGCTCGCTCCTGTCCAGTGTCGTGAGCTCAACCTCTGCTTTCTCGGTGTAGATCTAGGCCAGCTGCCTGCCGCTTGTTCTCGTGGAGATGTGTGTGTGTTCTTCTCTGAGCAGCTCCTCCCAGGAGGCCCTGAGCCCAGTCCCCAGGAGTCGGAGACGGGAGCCGGCGGGAAGGATGGACGGCGAGGGCGTGGTGGACGCTCACCCCCTCGGTGATCAAGACCGCGGCCTCCCCTCGGGCAGGAAGCACTGGACCTTAGATGGAGGGGGAGGGCCAGGGACTGTGCTTTGACGTTCCACCCCCGTTGTTCCTTGTGACTCAGTTTCCTTGGCTTGGGGGGGGGGGTGTTCCCTGTTATGCTTTCCAGTGTCCTGTGACCCTTCTGTGCCAGCCACAGGGCAAGGGCCACCCCACAGCAAGTCAGCCCCTCAGGGGGCTCCCGGAATGGAAGTGAGTGTTCATTGCCAGAGGCCATTGTCCTGGCAAGAGGCACATCTGGGTCCTCAGAAAGGGAGGCTGTGGTGGGAGGGCCCCAGAGTGGAGACAGAGGAGGCTCCTCCTCTGCAGCCCCAGGAGGGGGGGCGGGCCGACCTGTGGTTGTGAAGAGTCCCTTAGGTGTTGTCATCCCTTCTCTTCAATGGTTCATTGTTTCTGTTTAATAAATTTTGTGAAATGTTCCAGCTTATTCTATCATGGTGAGGGAAATTGGGAGAGGAATGTTGGTTGGAGATGGGACAGGGTAGAGTAGGGGGGGACAATGGTGGCTGGGTTAAAATGCTGGGTGCATTCAGGCAAGGTCCATGATGAGCTGTTGTGATTTCAGCTGGCCAGTGGGCAACAGGATACTGTTAGTTGTGGGTGGGCACTGTCTTTCTGGCTCCCCAGAGCACTTGGGAATAAGTGGGTTAGGCATTGAAGGGAGGGCACAGGACCACAGGATTCCCAGCAGTGCACGGGGGTGGAGGGGTGGGAATCGGGGCATCCAGCCAGGTCAGACAGGCCACGTGTGTGCTCCCGGGCTAGCAGACAAGGTCAGGGAAGGGCCGTACAAGGGCCCTGGCATGAGGTCAGATGTCCCCAGCAGGAGCTGTGTACAAGACAGGAGGGCAGGCGTGACATTTTCTAACCCACCCCACCCCACCTGCTTTTCCTTTGTATCTGGGTCTCAGACCATGTCACATTGGAGCATCTTGCAGGAACAGAGCATAGCCACAGCTGCACTATCCTCTACCTGCCTTTTGGAGGCACTGTGGTGTGCCTGGCATATCTACCCTATGTGTTTTCGCAAGGCCATGAGTAACCCAAGCCATGTTTTCAATGCAGACATAGGAGTTTCAATTCTTCCAAAATTGCGTGGGAATATGTGGAGCGTTAACAACAATAAGCACAATCTCAAAAGGCATATCATTCTCCAAATGCTACTTCTGCATTTCACTGGCATGGCAAGTGAGAAAGGCATCTTGCATGATGAGTTGCATCATGCATGCCATCTTGCTACTGTAGAGCATTGGTAATGTGGCTTCATATAGATAAAGTTCTTTTAGGCATCTGTTTTCACAATAGTGAAGTTTCATTTTCATTGAAGATCTGCTCAGACAACTGATTTTCATCCACAAGCATCTTATTTAGCGTTTTTGATAATCATTAATGCCTTCATGTAACCCTGTGCAGACTCAGTGCTCACTTTCACGTTATGTAATGAACAATGACTCTAGAGCTGTTTAAACCACCTGAAGCTTGCTTTATGCTCACCATCATAGTGGAGTCCACCCTTTAGACATATAAGATGAAATATTTGCTGTGGCCATGATCCTCATGGGGCTGCAAGGAATATTCTGATCTTTAGAAGTTTCCTCATATCAGATATACATTCTTCCTGAATTTTTGTTATCCTTTGGGCTTCAATAATGTAGGTGTTTTTTTTTTTAACAGTTTCCATTACTTTGTTCTTGTCCTTCAAGATGATAGCTATGGTGAAATGGGACATGATTTGAGAGAAATAACCATCACTGATGTGTCACATCAGTCCTATGTTGTGTTCTCTTTCATTTCCCTATCAACCACCAATATAGCCCCTTACTGATAACATTACAGAGGATTTTCTATTATCAGTGGCCATGATGAATAAAACAACAGATTATCTCAAGCACAGGAGAAAATGGTGCAATCAACAGACACAGTAAATAAGAGATGTGTGCTTTTACATTACAATGATACACACACACACAAATGCATATGGAATATGCATTAAATGATAAAATATACAGTAAATACAAAGATCAGTCAGAGATATTTATTATCATTATCAATCATTATGTCCTATACATATTTTCATGTGTTATACTTTATGAAACTGGCAGCAGATAAGGCTTACAAACACAGGCATTGCCACAAACTCTAGGGTTACAAAACCATGGCTCCAAAATTACTACATGACACAAATTTTTTAGCTGCATTGTAATATTATGGGAATACCTTCTTACATACCATTGGTTATTGACAGAAATGTTCTAATATAAAATATGATTTAATTTTTTAAATTTATTTTTTAGTTTTAGGTTTACACAATATCTTTATTTACATTTATGTGATGCTGAGGATCGAACCCGGTGCCTCATGCATGCTAGGTGAGCACTGTATCTTTGAGCTACCACCACACAGCTCCTGGCAGGGACATCTGACCTCATGCCAGGGCCCTTGTACGGCCCTTCCCTGACCTTGTCTGCTAGCCCGGGAGCACACACGTGGCCTGTCTGACCTGGCTGGATGCCCCGATTCCCACCCCTCCACCCCCGTGCACTGCTGGGAATCCTGTGGTCCTGTGCCCTCCCTTCAATGCCTAACCCACTTATTCCCAAGTGCTCTGGGGAGCCAGAAAGACAGTGCCCACCCACAACTAACAGTATCCTGTTGCCCACTGGCCAGCTGAAATCACAACAGCTCATCATGGACCTTGCCTGAATGCACCCAGCATTTTAACCCAGCCACCATTGTCCCCCCCTACTCTACCCTGTCCCATCTCCAACCAACATTCCTCTCCCAATTTCCCTCACCATGATAGAATAAGCTGGAACATTTCACAAAATTTATTAAACAGAAACAATGAACCATTGAAGAGAAGGGATGACAACACCTAAGGGACTCTTCACAACCACAGGTCGGCCCGCCCCCCCTCCTGGGGCTGCAGAGGAGGAGCCTCCTCTGTCTCCACTCTGGGGCCCTCCCACCACAGCCTCCCTTTCTGAGGACCCAGATGTGCCTCTTGCCAGGACAATGGCCTCTGGCAATGAACACTCACTTCCATTCCGGGAGCCCCCTGAGGGGCTGACTTGCTGTGGGGTGGCCCTTGCCCTGTGGCTGGCACAGAAGGGTCACAGGACACTGGAAAGCATAACAGGGAACCCCCCCCCCCCCCAAGCCAAGGAAACTGAGTCACAAGGAACAACGGGGGTGGAACGTCAAAGCACAGTCCCTGGCCCTCCCCCTCCATCTAAGGTCCAGTGCTTCCTGCCCGAGGGGAGGCCGCGGTCTTGATCACCGAGGGGGTGAGCGTCCACCACGCCCTCGCCGTCCATCCTTCCCGCCGGCTCCCGTCTCCGACTCCTGGGGACTGGGCTCAGGGCCTCCTGGGAGGAGCTGCTCAGAGAAGAACACACACACATCTCCACGAGAACAAGCGGCAGGCAGCTGGCCTAGATCTACACCGAGAAAGCAGAGGTTGAGCTCACGACACTGGACAGGAGCGAGCAGAGCCTTGGCTCGCCCGGAAGCTCACGGCACGTGCCCGGGCCTGGAGGTGGCCGGCCGCGAGGGCGCGGTCCTCTGCCCGGGGCTGACACACACCTCACGGCTTTGCACAGGAACGATGGCTAGCGTGGGGGTGGGCGTTTGCCTGAGGTGGGTCACTATGGGGCTTACAGATAAGGCGGGCTTCCAGGGACAGGGACAGGAGCACCCTGTCCCGGGGACGGTGAATCGGGTTGGGGTTTTGCCTGCTGGGAGAGCCAGGCAGCTGGCACCCTTGAGATGGACTCTCTTCCCCGACGTCTCCCAGTCCAGTGCAGGTGGCAGGTGACCTCAGCCCATCCCCCCACTTCTAGGCCTGCAGCCCTAGACTGGCAGGGTTTGGGTTTGGGGTTGGGGCTTCCATGAGGAGGGGCACCTCTCCTTGCTCCATCTGGTGGCAAATATGGTCTTTGGGGTCACTGGAAAAGTCTGGTGGTGGTGGTGGCCAGGGCCCCTTTGGGGAGCTGGGGGGATCCAGGGGCTTGGTTTGGGCTGGGTGAGCCCTTCCCTGGGCCCTGCTCCTGATGTGGGGTGAGGGTAGGCCCTGGCGCGAGTCCTGTC